CCCCAAAACCCCAAAACCCCAAAACCCCAAAACCCCTCTTTTTGATGCATAAAGTGAAAATTAAGTTATAAATTTCTTTCATTTTTGCTTCACTGATTCAAAGTGTTGCATGCTGTTAGATTTTCAAGCCATTCTTTTAATAGAGACTGTATTATTATCCTCTTGCTTTTCTATCAGATTAGTTATTTTAGGGGTAGGCTCTTGTCACAGATTTGGCTCAGCCTGAATGCTATTCTGATGAATCCTCGGCAGGGAGAACTGCTTTTGCCTATCAATAATCTAAGGGTACATACCTCATCGATTTCTGGTCTTGTTTTCCCTCATTCCAGGGGTTGAAGACCAAATAGTTGCTAAACTTATTTCTTCTCTTGCTGACTGTAAAGAAGCCTATATTTAGAGTCCATGAAGTACTATGGTCGGCCATTCTATTTCTTTTAGAGAAAATAGAATCCTTCAGATGGTTCAATCTGTGAATCGAGTTTACCGACCTTGCCAGATCTGATTTCTCTGGAGAGTAAGAGCTGAACTGTGACTGGGGAGTTCTCTCAAGTTTCGTTTTCCGATTGATCAAGCTCTTAGAAGAATAATCATGCGACTGATGAGGAGTAAACTCCTCATCAGTATTATCTGTATAAGAAGCATTATGTAAGTTTAAGTTGCTTTTCTTATTGGGAAATATCTGGTTCGTCTTTATTCGTAAACTAGAGGATAGTTAAGAGCTTATATACCTCTTCTTATCTCTATCATCACATTTTCTAGCAGACGTGGGTTCGATATTTATAGGAGAAATATTTGCATGCACCCTATGATTAAGGTAATGACATACTTTATTTTCTTTTTGTTTTTATTTGTCATTGAAATAGGTGATTCTTCAAAGTTGAGCCTACTTATCTTCTTCTTACTTAGACTCGTATTAGATTTTTCATTTCATTTTCTATTATGTGTGATTCTGCGAATTACTTATTAAAATTGACCCTTTCGCTGAACATTTGGTTAATAAATTCAGCTTGATTTAGGTGCTTGTAGACTAATTTTTTCTTTAAATTTTGAGTTTTTCTCGTTCTATTGTCGGTTTCAGGAATTTTTATACCTTCTCCATTGTCGTAGCTAGGAGACATCTCCTCAATAAAAGAGCTGTTATAACTATCAGATGATAGTGGGTCAACTGTATCGATCTTGTAAACTTTAGGATCATTATTCTCCTTATTTATATGCATTAATAATGAAATCATTTCTAAACTGAGCTTCAGCTGGAGACTGATCTGGAGTCTTGGATTCGTGAGTTACCTTATCATCCTTTACCTGACTAGAATATCTCTACTGGATTTTAGTACAATGATTTCAGGGTCACTTAATCTTACCTCTAATTTAGTAGGATTTTTTGCCTCTATTCCTTGCACGCTTAGATTAAGTCCCTCTGCTGTTTTTTTGACCCTTAACTTCTTAGGCTCTTTGCAATTTGAGCTTAGTAAACGGAACTTTTGGGGCAATTTTCTTGGTTAACTTCTGCTGAGAATTCTCTTTGACACTTTTTCCAACTATAGAGGGTTCTATCTTCATAAGAAATACTAAAATTATCCAAATCCCCTTTTAAGGAGTAATTCTTACCTTTATTTTGCTTTATTATGAACTTTGACTTTCATAGAGAGAATATTGGGGAATTCCTGTTTCCATGGACTAACACTTTCATTGTTGTTCATCTCAATTAATTATTTAATCTGAGGGGTTTTGGGGTTTTGGGGTTTTGGGGTTTTGGGG